TTTTGTTTTTTGGGGGGGGGGGGGTGAGGGGGGGGGGTAGTTTGTCGCTTGACGCCTCTTTTTTGTTTGTATCGAGAAGGGGTGGGATGCTGGGGGGAAGGGCGAAGTATGTTCATGAGGAGGAGCAGGCGGGCCAGTCGAGGGTGACCTGACGCTGTCGTTTTTGTGGTGTTTGTGCAGCATAGAAAAGAGATATTTTAAGCACCTTCCCCAGCAGAAAAGGACCAAGAACAGGGGTGTCACGACCGCCAAGAAGGCGTGACCGGGGAGCGAAGTTGACCTCTTGAAGCACACATCCTCACGATTGCAACACCAGCATCTGCTATAGTAGTTGTCGAATAACACGGTTGGAGACGGAAGCCACCAAGCTTTTTTTTATTTATTTTTTTACCACTTGTTACTCGCGTGTTGTTCTGTTGACGCTTTTCTTGGTTATTTTTCGTTTGCGAAATGTGTGCCCATTCTCGAATCACACCATTAGCATCAACAAGCACGGGGTGTAGTCAAGACGACCTCCGGTGTGTTGATTCAAGATTACCCGGTGGCAATAAGAGCCTAAGATGTAGATCGTTTGCCTGTTGGTTGCTTTCATTTTTTTTTTTTTTTTGCGTTCTTCGGTACAAACACACGACGCAGACAACAGGGCTCCATCAGGCGGAATGGTAATCATCGGCGGTGACGACGGTGCTTTTCATACTTTTTTTTTTTGGTTTGTCTCCTTCCGTACAAACGCACGACGCACGACACAACCGCACACGCGGGCACAGGACGCCATCGGGCGGAATGATCATTATCGGTGGTGGGGACGACGACGATGACGATGACGACGAAGAGGAAGAGGAGGACGAAGATGATGATGAGGAGGAGGACGAGGACGAGGACGATGATACCGATGTGACGAGCAGCAGCAGCAGCAGCAGCAGCTCGGAAGGCAAGGGCTCGCGCTGGAGAAGGGAAGAGCTTCCCCTTACCGAAGACCTCACCAAGAAGACTATCCAGGTGTGTACCGCTGACTCGGTCTCTTGCACGTTTGACAAGAAATGTTGTCGTCGACCTCGCCGACCAATGAGTAGGGCGGAGGTGGAGTATTCGCCGGAAGAGTGACCAAACTGTATGTAGGTAGGTCTCTGTAAGTTTCCCAAAGGTTAAGGCTTTTCCCCCCGTAGGCGATTGCCTCGTATTTTTGTGGTCGATTTTGGTTATTATACTGAACATAGAGTGGATGGTGCATTTATATCGCGAAAAAAATCAGGGATGCGGATTACGGGGTTTCCCGGCCGGTACGTACCCGTAGTTATGGGAAATCAACAAAATGTGTTATGTACGCGTAATTTCGGCAGCATACCGGGGACGAAATTTCGTCGTCCCCGGGGTGTTGAACACCGTATGGGGTGTTAAACACCGTATGGGGTGTTAAAAACCGTAGAAGTAGGACACAAAGGCGATTACAGCAGGTAGATATAAGGGATTCAGGGGTTGACATGAGTCTTCCGTGTGTACACGCGTACACGTGTATGCGTGTATACTGCGTGCGGTAGACATGCTTGTGTTCTTCAAGCTTCAAACTGCTCCCACCTGCAGCAGCGGTAAATTTTGTTCTGGATACTATTTTAGTGTATTAAATCTGTCGGGGGTCGCCCCGTTGCCCCAAATGAATCCCAAACCCCCAAGTTACCGCAAAAGTTACTTGGGATGGAACTAGTTACGTACGTCTGGAAGGTGTTACGGGTAATTACGGGTACCGCCGTACCCCGCATCCCTGAAAAAAATCGCTGGCGGGGGAAAAGGCTACAAATGTTGGGTGACCTCGCCGACCAGTGAAAAAAATACGCGAAGGCCCCGGAAAGATTGAAAAAAACATGCCAGGATGAGCGCAGACAAGTGTTTCTTTTTGGACTCCGGCGCAGTCTTTCACTGGCCCGAAACCCCGCAGAGGCGGGGTCGTCGCAAACAAGACTGTCGTCTCCCGGACCCCCCCCCCCCCCCCCCCGCTTCTGCGGGGCGGGGATGCCTTGGGTTTTTTTCCCGACATCCGTTTTTCTGCAAAATGGCCTCTCTCCCCCCTCCTCCCCAACCATTACAATAGGCGCCCGCAGACTAAGACGAATGCACTTGGAGTACGTTGGAAATTTTGTGGAAAGTGTGTCTCTGCTGTTCTCTCTCAAGAGTAGCACCGCCTTGCCTCCCAACCGCTCAATCTCCCTGATTTTTTTTTGTTTGTTTTGAACGCATAACTAACTTATCACCGTGCACGTGATGTCCCGTTGAATGGATTCGAACATGCTGAATGAAGCTACAGCAGTAAGTAATAACAGCCGCAGTGTTACCTGTCCGATGGATGTGTACTAAACTAAACCGGTCTAGCAGCTCGAGGTGTGCTCGCGAAAAGGCCTTCTTGCAGGCGGCGGGACTTTTATAGTGTGTCGCCACTTGGATCATACAAGGACACGTGGCGGTTGTTGGGACGCATGTGCTTTCTTTTCCCCAAGCGTTTGTTCACCCCTGGACGAGTGATGTGTTTTTTGTGTCGAAGTGCCTGACGTATTAATGTATTGGCCCGCTGCTTTTCGGAAGGATGCGAAAAACGAAATCATACGGGCGCGGGAATCGATGGCATCGTCGCAGCCCTGAATTTCATTCGTTTGGAGAAACGAAACGAATTGATACAGTATGCCAATCCGTGGATGATGAATCCAAGATAACTCACATGCATAGCAACGAAGTAGATCGTGCTGACGTCCTTCTGGTTGTCTTGTGAAGTTTTTGGAACAGAGCCCCAAATGTTCACAGACCATTTTTTACACTCATCAGTAGCCGGCACGTTTTTGTTGGTTGTGTTCACAATGAATCCATCAAAACTTGGCCCGGTGGTGGTTGGGTTTTTCCTCCGTTTTATTTGTTTATTTATTTTGTGCGGATCTGCCGTGCCAGACGTTGCGGACCCTGGTGGAGATCAAGGTGCTGGAGAAGGACGAGCAGCGCCGCCTGGTGACGGACGTGATCAAGCACGCCGCGGACGACGAGGCCAGCGCTGTCGAGGTACGTGAATCGTCATTTTTTCTCCCACACGCGAGCGACCCGGTGGGCGCCCGCGAGAAGAGAGCTCTTTCTGATGTGCCTAGACGATACTGTCAAAGACGTGGTATAGGGTGCTGACTCCTGACATGCCGTGCGTGAATTATCCTGCTTTCTCCCACACACGGACGGCCAGGTGGGCGCGCACAAGAAGAGAGCTCTTTCTGGCATGCGTAGACGATTTTTGCTGTCAAAGACGGCACTGACACTTAACTCCCTCTCTCCCTGACATCCCATGTGTGATACCCCCGTCGCCAACGGTAAATGGTCTAACCGCTAAGGCATGCGAAACATGAGTACCCCCCCCCCCCCCCCC